CGAGGAAAGATTAAATGATTTAAATTGTGCTTTATAAGGAATAAAATATGTGTATATGTATAATATTTCCTTTCCCTGTCCTGTGTTTTTTTGCTATTTTGTTTCTATTTCGTCAATAAATAAATCAGTATTAAATTGTTCACTATCCGAAAAAGTGTAAACGTTTCGTCACTTAAGCTCAACAGAAGGTAAAAAAAGACAGGCTTCTACTCAACAGGCAATAAATATATCAAATATCTAAAATGTGCGTCCACACGTAGTCCACACGCTCGCGATGCCATGTAGACACCAAGCACTAAATTAATTGTTTTTAAAACGTACGTTGGAGAAACGCCACCCTATACAGCGAGAAGGGATTTAATTCGACACCACCCATGCATCCATCATCACCAAAGAAAAGGCGAAATTATAGTCAAAAGCAGGCAATTTTGTGGATGTTTCACTTGCGGTTTAGTATCTCCATAGGTCAATAATGAAATAATCAACCTATAATAATAGAATTTCAAAGATTTGGCATTTTGCAGCGGTTCAATAATAAAGCTTTTAGTAAATTTACGATATTTCTATGAATTTGCGGCAAAAGCGATGTAACAACATTTAATTGTTGTCTATTTCTGGTAATTCTTTACACACCATCCTAGCAACGATTGACTAAATGACATGTAGTCTCAAATATTAGGCACAGTCACAAGAACGTCAAAATGTACCCGAAATAATACGGGTGCGTTGACCAGTACCTCGATTAAATCCGAACCTTTTCCAGCATATTTTCCAGAAAATATCTTTTAATATGCGCCGTAATATCCGAATAAGGTTTTTAATTGTCGTCCATCCGACCCTCCCCACGGTGTCGTTCTAATGAGACAACGACGACGTAAAATTCGTAAAAGGAAACACGAAATTTAATTTTCTGGAAACGTCACTCGCAGAGTGGTCACTAAACGTCATTTTGTAGGCGCTCAGGTTTTTAATATGGCCACTAAAACGTTCTGCAACAATCTGGAGCTTGTTACGGAACGCGCGTCGTTTAATTTTAACCAGTTTGTTTTAAAAACGGTTCTGTTGGTTTGTATTAATTCTGGTAACATATTTTTTGGTAATTTGTGAATTGTCTGTATAAACGGAGGGAACTGAATAGCTAACATTTGGTGACATAATTTAGGTCAGGCTTATTGGCACATTGAACTGGATCGAAATTGGAATGGCAATGGCGTGATAGAAAAAGAGGCAGAAGCAGCAATCCCCATTAGTAGCTGTACTAATGGGGATTATTGCCTTGCACTTGCCTATAATAGGAGAATAGGTTGTTCTCGTTTTTTGATTAATTTAGTTACCGATATATTCATATCACAGGTCTACAGTGATATTGATGTTTGCTTATTTGTATATTTTTGGGGGCCCGTTTCCATATTTTTACTCTATCACGTCATTTTGAAATGAATTGATTTTTATTCAACACTGGATAATATTACATTGGTGCAGAATCATCAATACAGCGTTGTAACCTGCTTATGCAAAGTTTGGTTGTATTGGATGTGTTTCTAGTGTTCTAGAACGTATAAAAATGAAGACATTGCTTGAACAATCTAAATAACTTTTGTTATATCTGTGGTAGTTAAGTCGTAGTAAAGTAAAGGCAAGCTATAACTTGGTGTAGAAATTGGCGACCAAGACAAGACCTGGGCTCCTTAAGCATTAAGAAAGTCGCAAAAAGGTAGGAAGAAATGTTTTAGCTCGGGCGTTTCTGTGGTATGGAATGGAGGAATCACAGTGACGATTGTTTTTTTTTTGTTCGTGTAATGTTCAAAGATTCAACAGAAAAAATAAGAAACGAATTTTGTACCCCAACCTTGACTCTGCTACTCGATCAGTTCCTCATGGATCAGATGTATCGATACCTACCGCCCCAAAAGAACTAGAAAACGTCAGAATCAGATGACTCAGATTTCACACCAGATTTCAGAGAACTTGAAGAGTTTAACCAAAGCGAATTAAATGATTTAATTAGAGATTTGCCCCTTCTAAAGGATGCACCTGAATTGTTAGCATCCAGACTGCGTGACAAGCATTTATTGGCACCTGGCGTCACAACAAGCTTTTACTGGGATCTCGAAAAAGAATTATGTCAATATTTTACTGGCGCCTGTTTATTGACCCAAGTAAGCATAGTTTAAAAGGTGTTTTATTGTACAATGGTAACGAAATGGCCTTGCTTCTCATTGCACATTCGGTACATTTAAAAGAAACGTATGGAAATTTAGGACTTCTTTTGAAGAAAATAAACCACCAAAAACAACAGTGGATGTTTTGTGCTGCCCTTAAAGTGAATGCTAATAGGACAATAGGACAATTGCAATGTGTGGGATAGTCGGGCAAGAGATAGACATTGTACTCGAATAGAATGGGCCTCTAGACCAAGCTTACATCTGGTAGCAAAAATGTATTAAGAGATAGCTTAGTTGACCCCAAAAAAGTTTTACTGCCTCTTCTTCATATCAAATCTGGCTTGATGAAGTTTGTTAAAGCCCTAAACAAAAATGGACAGTGTTTCAAGATTGCAGAGAAATTTTGGCCATATCTGAAGCCAACGATAAAAGAAGTTTTGGTTTCTTCGGAACTCTGAGGACGAAAACTACGAAAGTATTGTTCAAAATATGTTTGATGGTCTAGGTTGTAATATGAGTTTGAAAGTGCATTTCCTGTTTTAACACTTGAACTATTTTCCTACTAATCTTGGAGCAGTTAGCGACGAACATCGAGAGAGGTTGCCAGGAGATCAAGGAATTGGAATGGCGATACCACGGTAGATGGAGCATAATGATGATGGCGGACTTCTGCTGGATGTTAAAAAGGGGCAGCTTTCTAGCAACAAGATGAAGATTTCAATCCAAAAAATCTGAGTATTTTTTTTTACTTTTTTGAACTAAGATTTCAGTATTTTACTGAATAAAAAAATAAATTATTTTAGATTTTTTACAAAACTTCTGGATTCCTCCTATATTGGTTTTTGCTGAGTAGAACTTGCTGACTTTTCGCTAATCATACTGTTGGGTTCTTCAAAGCTTGACTGAAACTGGCTCGCATTTTACTCTATACCTGCTTATATATTGCTTCAGGGGGCGGAGCTAAATGAGGGGCATAAACACCGTCTCGGGTGACTAAGTCCCATATTGGTGACTGAGCCGCGGTTAAGATTGTTAGGTTGTTTATAGATATCTATATATATATATCTATATATATCTTATAGATATCTATAGACTCTCGAATTTTTCGAGGGTAGAAGAATTGATTACATGCCAGAATTTTAGTTTTATCGAATAAAATTTTATGTCCGGTTTCGTGATTGTGTTCGGCAACAGCTGATGAGATTATTTGTGTTAGTCGTAAGGCTCTTTCGTATTCTTTGAGTCTAGGCCTCTCCAATGTATTCTTTGCTGTAAACTCCTAGCATCTCAAACAGAATTTTGTCTTTGACGGACCGAAGATATTGAGAGATTTTTGGACAAATCTGGTTTTGATGTTATACTTCTGTAGAACTTTTGATATGTACTCAGTGATGTTTTGAATGTAAGGAAGGACCACAGTGAGAAGTGCAGACTCGCTTTCGGCTTCATTGCTATTGAAAGGTTGTGGTAAAGTGTATTTTTTGACGGAACGCTTAATATCTTTAATGTGGAAATTATTAGAGAGAAGACCAGAAGTAAAGCGTTTTAATTCTGGGTTCAGTGACTCGGGCTGTACACACACAGATAAGACATGGCAATTTTGGATAACCCCCCTATTGCCCTAGGAGCATGCAATTTAAGGGCAGCACAAAACATCCACTGTTGTTCTTGGTGGTTTATTTTCTTCAAAAGAAGTCCTAAATTTTCATACGTTTCTTTTAAATGTACCGAATGCGCAATGAGAAGCAAGGCCATTTCGTAGTTTTACGACACTGTAAACAAGAGAGTTGACAACTGATGATTTTTGGGCAGGATGGTAATGTGACCATGCATTAAGGTATCGGTCTTAGAGCGTAGGTTTTCTGTAAACACAATGACCCAATGTAAGGTCTGATTTTCTATTGATAAGAATATCTAGTAATGGAAGGTTATTATTAGTTTCCAACTCAATGGTAAAACGTATCTTAGGGTATATAAATAACAAAAGTATAATCGACGTAGCGTTTCCAAAATTTTCATCTAATCAGCGTTACCCTAAAAATAAAAGAAATGGTCCTGATTTTATTAATGCCATATCACAAACAATATAAGGACTATACTGGCTAACCACGAATAGACTTCTAGGGTATTTGGGAAATGGATAGCGCTTCAAATGTTTGCAATACAATACAATAATATATATTTAATTTATGAACATATTTTAAAATGGCCATCTTCTCGGAAAGTGTCCAAAAACCATCGCCATTTAAAAAATTTTAAATGTATTTTTGTCAAGATGTCCTATCTATCATATCAATCCCTACAACTTCGCAGTTGCAATTTTATTGCATTTTTTAAGTCCCTTAGTCCCCCCAACCCCCTTGGAGTACGCTAATTTAACAGTAGTTACTGATTAAAGATATTTTTTAATTGCTCGAGAGTGACACTCAACTTGTATGCTAAACACAAAATTTAATGACCTGAATTTCAGTTTCAGAAAAATCAAAGAAGTGTTTTTACTTTTTGCCTTTTTATTGGCATAAATATAAACAGTATTAAGTCACACAACTTGAGCTTCCGTTTGGACATAATTGTTAAGTAGTGGACGTAATACTTTAAATAGATTTGTTTTTTACGGGGCCAACCTGTATTAACCATTACAGAAAACCGTTTGGTTCTCGCAAGAAAAGACAAGATACTATTTTTATTGGGCTATAATAGAAAATGATAGGTATGTGACTTAATATTCGTCTGAAATAGCAAAAGCGGGCAATTTTAAATTTTTAATAAACCCAAAATCGTAAAAGGGTGAACTTAGTACTATTTGACTCTGGGGTATAGGTACTAGAAACTTACATCTTACAACAAGCTTAACGGGGTTACTCGATCCTTTTCCTTCGGAATTGGTAGCTACGCAGGTGTATTCGCCAGCTGTCGACTTCACTACATTTTGTAACACGAGACTTTGATCGCTTAAAATTATACCTCCGGTTACGTTTTGAAAAATTTCCGTATTCTGAAACAAAACATTACAATAAGAGCGACGTCTATTATTATTATTGTTTTTTATTATTATTCTTATTATTATTATTTTATTATTATTATCATTATTATTATTGTTATTATTTCTTATTCCGCTACTTTTTGAATAAATTTAACTTCAAATTCTTTCTTTCATAAAACAATTGGGTGCTCAATAATCTCACAATCTCTTATATTAGTTTTCCTCTCGTGTGCAAAGAACGAATGTTTCCAAAATTACTGAATTTTGACAAACCCTTCATTATGAAATAGGAGTACTATACAAAACTATTTGCAGGTAAGTAAGTAAGTAACATATTAGTTTATTTGCAACTTCAGAAATGTGATTTTTGACAGCAAGTATATCATTATATTTTATTACGATGATCGGTTAGATTAGATTTCTTCCTCTTGTTATAAATAATGAGCTTGTTGCGTGTTGATTGATTCGGGCCCCCGGAAATGTGTTTACGTCGGACGTTCAAACACTCCAATTATTATAGTGCAGTCATTAAGTAAGTAACGCAGTGCGTCTACTTTTGTGCTTGTGTTCATTTTAGTTTTCAAAAATAAATTATTCAGTTTTCATACAATGATATGGTTTTAGAATCCCTCGCTATTATGTGCGAATATATTATTTACGACATTAATTTTACAAAATTAAAAATATTTTGCTATGTTAATTAAAATTGTGCAAATACCCTTAAAATTACGAACGGACTTATTATAACCAGAACCAAAGTATTAACTACATACAGCGTTGTCAACACGAACATCATTTTATGGTTATGCAAGGCTTGTCATCTTCTATGGTTTCGAAAGCTATGTGGCATACATGATTAGTCTAGAACCATGGTCCTTCGATCCTTATTTTATTATTTCAAAAGTTATATACCGTCTTTATACTATTATAATATCCATTCTTAACCCTTGCTGATAACTCCAGAATACAAAAAAATCCGGAACACCTGTGCCCGATTCGTTTATGGTTTGAGAAAGTTCAATCATATATCAGAAAAAATATTTGCAGTAAAACATCTCAAAACTAAATACCTGTTTCAATTTTTACTCGCAATTGATGTATTTAAGGTCATGAAATATACTTTACAAACGCAGATGTTTCGATATGAAATTCACAATGCTACTCTAAGGACGAAAAATATTCTGAATATGACCCAGCATAATTCCTGTAAATTTGAACGCTGCTTCAGTTATAGCTTTATAATAATTATAATAAATAATTTGAATCGAGCTCGGGAAAAAATTGAAGGTTCATTAATTGAAATTACAAAAGTCCCCGCCCTAAACAAATTAGTATTTTATCAATAATTATTATTGTAATTTTCGGTTAATTGTTGAGTAGCTGATATTAAGATCTTAAGCTAGACTTCGCTGTTTGGGATGTGTAATTGTATTAGTCTGTATTAAGTAATTTCGTCTAAACCTTTTGCAATGATTTAAAATATCTCAATAAAGACAATTATTATTATTATCAGTCATTTACATCAATGATAGAAGGAAATAAGTGTTTTAAGAGGTAGGAATCGTTGATGATCTCTGGCACTCGCATAAGTAAATTTTGCTAAACAGAAATCTCGAAAAAAAAAAAAAAAAAAAGAAGAAAAAAAAGGATCTTTCAACAAGATCAAATGTTTGTCATGTACCTAAAAAACAAATTACAAATCACTAGTTGCAGCACTGCATTTGGAAACAAGTCATTGGTCTTTCTAATGATGTCCACATACACTTAAAAAAAATCAAGTTTAAGGATTTGCCTCAAATGGACTGCGGAAATTGTCAATGCCAGCCCTGCTGCCAATTTATTTTCTGAGGTTCTCTGAAGTGTAGGAGCTAGGTACTATGTTGAAAAATATTGACGTCGATGTTCGAAACACCTCGTACTTTTACAAGAACAAGTAATAATGTTTATTCAGTAGTATTCATTTCCCTTCCGACTGCGATTTGTTGGTTTAGTAAACGTTAACAACATGCGCACCTTCGATGAATTTGGCAGTTGCCTTGTTGGTATAGTTGTTACGCTACTGGCTTCAAGATATTTATATGCATATTACTGGCAAACCCTGCAAACAATTTCGATATGTTTATATTGGAAACAAAAACTGATAATTTCATAATGGCTTATTTATGTTCAAATCTGCATGCAAAGCGAAAGGGCAACACAAGACAAAAACTCTGTTTTAACATTATATATTCAAAAGGCAAGATGTTATAATACAAAACCCAACCCTTAATTTTATTCGCAAAACTGGAAGGAAAACAAGGCGATGCCGAAGTCGAAAGTTGAAAGAATATTATTTAAATTTCGGAGGCCCTAAATACTTACATTGTGAAACCAGGAAAGTTTGTACGCCTTGGGGTTCGCCCTAATGTTGCATTCAAAATAAACATCGTCACCCTCCTTGATATCCTCCGGGTTGAGAGTTGACCCCATTTTTAGCGTTACGACTGGAACATCTGGAAAATAATGTTAAGTGATTGCATAAATTAAATCAAGTAACTTTTAGCGGTGCCGCTTTAATATTTAGTCATTAATCGTAGCAGGATTTTGACTCGTCGGATCACGTCGTGCATTAATATTGTTTGCGTCGGTTTTATTATTTTTTTTAAATTAAAAAGCACGTCAATCATGGCACAGTGTTATTGCGGTGTGCAACAAATGGGAAGGTTCAGAGTCCAAATGATAGTGTGGGTGCATTAGCACATTCTATCTGGATCTATTCTGCCTCTCTTCAGAATTACAGCGCTTCATGTAGATTCGTTTCTCTGATTGGTCACGCCCAGCAAATGAAAGCCCATTCTCGATAGGCGCGTGTTTGGTCGACAACCATTGTTTCTTCCTCTTCCATTAGGTTTAAACGCCTCTTTAGTCAGCAGTGACCCGGCGGTAGTTCTACCACTATTCTTACGGCCTTGTTTTTATTCGTTGACCTTTCTTTGTCCTGCTCCGTCTCTCCACCATTGCCGGTTTTTTTTAATCTTTTTTTTTTATGGCTGATTTTGCAATGGGCTTAACCATCGTACTGGTTTTGATCTAATCACGTCAATTGCACCTCTTTACAACTTGATCCCTTAAGTGAGCAACCTAAGAAAAATAATGTGCAAAGATCTATGAAGATATTATTTGCGCAGTTTCTTGTTAAACATTTCCAAAAAAAAAGCACTTTTAATAAGAGTTTTGCTCAATTTTAACTGATGGTTTAATGGTGGTTAAGGGTTTAAGAGGATTGTTGTATTAGCGTGTGTCCGAAAATAACATCGTAATAGTTTCAGGGATGAATTTAACATGCTTAAAGATGGAACCCTGAAGAAAATTTGTAGCAATATTGTTCTAAACGTTGTAGCGTAACATTTTGAAATTCAGTACATAGGACGCGGCCGTATATTGGCACGAATTGGCAAGAGAAGAATAATAGTGGTGAAATTGTGTTTCTGCGGATATTAATAAAGCTTTGCAAACAATATACATACAGATATATTCTTTCTAAACAATAGTCGCAGTATGATGTACAAGGTGGTGATGAAAGTTTTCATAAAACGAAGTTTGTTGATAAAGTAAACTTAGGCGTACCGCTTTGAATTATTTTTATTTGTTAATTAATTAGCATTTAATACACTTATATCTATATCTATACAGAGCGTTCCAAAATTCTAAGCAACAAAAATTTGAAAATTGGGAGCAATCCGCCTAAAATATTATTTTAAGATAAGCGGGCATATCGGGAAATAGCGGAGGTTTTTTAATTCCTCGGAAAACTGTTACATATTTCCTGTATAAAATCATTACCTAAAAAAAATAGTGTTTGCAGACAGTAAATTTTTCCAATTTTCCAAATTTAAAATTTTGCTCTATGAACTTAGTCCTTGGAAACTGGTATGTATGCTGAACAAATATCGTTTGATTCTTAACAATACAGTATATTGAAAAATATAACAATTAAAATGACATTGAAAAGAATATCGAATTATTTTTTTCAAATTATTCCTTTATTTATTTTATTGTTTATTCTATTAAGTAATAAAAACAACAAAGTTCCAGCAAGAGATTACAGTATTCTATTTAACTAAATAAACCATTCAAGAAGTGCAACTTTCTAGTGTCTGCTGCTCGCAAGGAGAGTTAACTCCGCCCATCCGACATAATTTGCAACAACACCATAGGCATAACTTTATTCCATTAGAGCTATTTCTATAATGGTTTTTTCATTAATTATACTTAAACTAATAATAAACAAATCGATACTTATGAATTAACAATAGAACACATATTGTACAAAAATTAGCGCTATTTTGTATTAGATTTTATATTTCGAATATTTATAGTTTTCGAGATATTGCTGTTTAATTTTTTTAACTAGTCTGGTCTTAACGTGCAATTGATCTGAGTTATTAGAAAAATGGAAAACTGTCGCAGAAACTTCTATGTTCTTGTCAGTTGCCATATAAAAGATATTAACAATAACCTTTCCAGGCACGCTTAAATAGTTATACGCACGAAGATTATTTGAAAGTTTTAACGAGAACCAGAAAGAATTTTCATGGGAATCCAAAAAAGCGATAATATATAGGGTATTCTATTATAAGTAAGAAAGTTAAAACCTCGATCCGGTATATCGGAATATATCGCCATCTTGAAAATTTCCTAGCGGGAAAATTTTCAAATTTTTGTTATAGTTTTTCCATAACAGATGGACGAAATTCCCGATGGGACACTCTAATTTAAGTGTGTGATATCAGGGTCAGGAAATAAACTGTAGGTCATTTAGCAGCTTAAAATTATCTTTAAATGACCCGCCCATTGGCGCACTACTCTCAGTGGTATAGTCAAGCCAAAAAACCAAATTCCTTTATAAAGTTTCGAGTTTTACGAAAAGGAGAAAAAAACGAGTTTGCCTGCGTATAAATACAAATCGGCAAAGACTTGCGCCTCAGAACTAATTTGTATTTGCACCAGAGAGCGACTGTGCGAATAGACAACGAAACCTCCCAAGAATTTACAGTTAATCTGTTAAATACTTACTCCGAAATACTGTTATACAAGCGCTTAGTAAAACAGAGGATGGCATTAAGATCAATGACGAGACCATCGATAATTTAAGGTATGCGGACGATACAGTTTTTATAGCAAATAGTGCTGAGGGATTGCAGAGGTTCATAGTCCGTGTAGTGGAGGCATGTGATTTGAATGGTATGAGGCTCAACTGCAGGAAGACCAAAATTCTTGTAGTTAGTGAAAACGATGAGACACAATACCATCAGTTTAAAGCCCATAATGGGCTGCAGCAAGGAATGGGATGATACATGGGAGATCAAATGCTGTACAGAAAAAGCGAGAACCGTTTTTAAAAGCCTCAGAAAAGTCGTATGTAACTTACACCCGAATATTACTATAAGAACACGGGTACTAAGATGTTATGTATTCTCCAAGCTCCTATACGGAATGGAAGCCTGGACGTTCACATGTACGCATCTAACTAAGCGCTGGAGGCCTTTGGAATGTGGTGCTATTGCTGCATGCTCAAGATATTATACTCCTCCAACTATGTCACAAATAACACCTTGATCCAGCGAACGTAAAAGCAACTCGAAGTCATACATAATCATTAATCATAGTCATACCTTGGGCATGTGGTGCGTAATGAGAAATATCAATTTATCCAACTAATCTTGTAGGGTAAAATAGATGCTCGCAGAGGTAAGGGGCGATGACGAACATTGTGGCTGAAAAATATCCGACAACAAGCAACAGCAACTAGAAGAAGAAGAAGAAGGACAAGAAGAAATATATATCGAGGAACGCTTCACGTGGCAATTGTAAATCTTTTTTCTGTTCAAATATTCAGTTGTAGCATAACCTCAGAAGTCTGCGAAACGAACCGAGGTAAAATGAGAAAGATGAATACTTGGACAGTCCGCATTTTGCAGAAGGATAGAAAACGGGCTAGATAAATAACTTGCTGATTATTGAAACTAATATCGTTTGGTTTAGAAGTGTTTTCGTTCCTTAATAAATTAGAAACGGTAAACCCTAGCCAAACTTTCCTAATTAATCTCGTATGAAAAATATGCGATAAAAGGTAAAACTCACAATGAACGTTTAATCTCCATTTATCTTCAAGGGCGCTGTCGGGAATTGCCGGGTTCTCTGCCCTGCAGGTCAAGTACTTGCCGTCGTCGTCGATAACGGGCACGAAAGTCAGGATGCTCAAGCTCTGGTTGTTCTGCTCCGAGAACTGAAACAATGGAAAAGTAATGCAATCGATTCAAATGCACTCGCGGGGCAATATTATTGAGGAAGTTGTGGGTCACGCCTGAAAGTGCTCTTTGCGATTCAATATGAATTTTTCAATTACTATTTAAAAAAAATAATTTTCACTTTTCTACCTTCCCTTCCATGTTTTTTATCTACAGCCTCGACCGTGGAAATTATTTTTAAATAAATTAATTTGACTTTAATATTTTGAAGCCAAGCGTTAACTGTACGCGAGGTAATTTATCTCCAAATGTCACCAAACGATAACAAGATATGAAGAGCTTTCTAATGTTTTTGTAATAGATATAAAAAATAATTTAAAAAGACGGTTTTTTGAAAAAATAATATAATAATAAATCAGTCGTTTACCATATTAGGGTGGGCAATAAAAATCTAAATTTTTCCCACAATTAACCACTAAGTATTCGGATTGTTTCCTAGCCAATGTTTTTTCGGCAATTGCATCGGAGTCTAATATTTACTTACGCGAAACCGAAAAACCCTCGATATCTTTTACAATTTCCTTTGGGTCCGCTCAATGGCCTGCCATAAACGAAAAACTACTCTGAAAACGACGGCATAAAAGTTTATACAGGATCGTAGTTGCAACTACAAAAGAGAGACGAGAAATTTTAAAATCAGAGATATCCCAAGTTCCGAAAACGACTAAGAATTCTTTTGCCTGGTGTCTACAACTTATAACGAGATTTTTATGTAAATCGTGGAAACTTCAAGAAATTGGTTATTTCATCTACAACACATTTTCGCGGATAGGAACTTTTTTCGATGCGGATGTAATTACAATAAACTTTTTAACTAAAGCAGAAAGAATATTTGGAATTTTAAATACTTTATTCTTTTTAAATTACCTATTTCAGTGGACTAACTTTTGGAGATTAGATTTCGTTATGGAATACTTATGAAAAATGCCTTTTGACTTAGGTAGTTAAATATTAAAATGAAAATAAGTGAAATAATATTTTTTTTATACTCCCGTCTGTAAAATACCTAATTACCCACCGATCTAGCATGCGGGAAGCGTCACTTTACCACGTCAGTTTCGTTTTCCATTAATCCGAGCCACATCGGACATTTCCGGGATTTTACCGCACGGATTTGGGAGCAATCGGATGTTTTCGGAGATATTTCCCCACGCTTTGAATTTTGACGTTTGTCAATTCTGACAGTGAATGTATTCGTATTGTTTTGCGAAAATGTACCCAAAAACTAACGGTCGTAGAAAAAGTATAGTATGCAACACGTTCGGTAAACTTTTTAACTCACTCGTTTATTAAAAACTCGCTCCGCTCGTGTCAAATAAACTCGTGAGTCAAATGCCGTTTACTGCACTTGTTGCATAAAATACTATTTTCTTCTCTCATCTGCAAAATACCTGATTGTACACCGACCTAGCATGCGGAAAGCGTCACTTTACCACGTGAGTTTCCGGGATATTACCGCAGAAGTTTGGGAGCAATTGGATGTTATCAGTTCTGACTAACGTAGGAAAAGTATAGTATGCAACACATTTGATAAACTTTTTAAATTATTCGTTTATTAAACACTCGCTCCGCTTGTGCCAAATGAACTCGTGATTCAAGTGCCAGTTTTGCAAGTTGGCATAAACACAATAGTATATTATGCAACAAGAGTTTATTTGACCCGAGCGGAGCGAGTGTTTAATAAACGAGTGACTTAAAAACTTTACCGAACCTGTTGCATACTATATTTTTTCTACGACCGTTAGTATTTGGGTACATTTTCGCAAAACAAGACGAATACATTCACTGAGATGATCGTCAGAATTGAGAAACGTCAAAACTCAGGGCGTGGAATATATCTCCAAAAACATCCGATTGCTCCCAAACCCGTGCGGTAAAATCGCGGAAATATCTCGGAAATGGCTCGGATCTGTGGGCAACGAAACTAAGTCGCCTCAATAGAGTGTAGAGTGACGCTTCCCGCAAGCTAGATCGGTGTGTAATTAGGTAATTTACAGACGGCAGCAGAAAAATTTTGTTTTTTTGGCGACATGGTTATAGTAAAAGCTATTCATTAATTTCTGTTGCACGAGTTGTTTTATTCCATACTTCTGAGATGGCGCATTTACCTTGAGTTAGGATTAGTTAGCTGAAACACTGATGCATGTAACCATATCGATTAAATTATAAAAAATTGCGTTAATGGTTTCGATATATCTAAATTTTAATGAACCTGTATAAAGAAAAACATGCAAGATATATATGGTACATCTTGTAAAACTAGCGAAAAGGAATCCATAGTCGCTATGATGATATAATCGGATCCATGGAGATAATATATGTAATTTTGTTATATTTGAAAGTAATTTTAAAACTAACCGCAACTGACGTCCATCATAAACTTTAATTTTTGTGATTGGAAATTACAAAATTTTATAATAATATATTGATAGCTATTAAGAAATACGCTTATTAAAATTTTCAGACCAGTTAACGTTTACTTTTGAGTATGAATTCATTGAGAATGCCATGTTTCACTAATTATGCAGTCAAATCATTTCAATGAAGGCGACACAGAGTTCGACGGCTGATTGGTAAGCCGAGGCCAAAGAACTTACGTTTTTTGCCAGTCTTTTGACGGGTCTGCTCCCCTTCCACCAAGTAATAACCGCATCCGGTCTAGAACCCGAAGTTCTGCATTCGACGTCGTATCGCTTGTCCGCTGACACGTGTTTCTCCTTTGTCAAAATATTCACAGTCTGGGGTTTTACTGAAAATAAAAAAAGACTTGCTTGTGCATTTCGCATACGTCGATAAACAGGTCATTTCTCTTCGGGACTTTAAAGTGCAATAGAAATTTGAAAAAGGAACATTGCTTTGTATTTCCTGTCAGTTTTCATTAGGCTGTTTCAAATTCGCGAACACACTGCCAAATTTTATAAAAAAATTAAAAAATGACACTAAACATCCATATTGATTATCAACTACATTTTTCATTACAAGTGCTCATCGTCATGAGACAAAATATGTACATTTTATTTCTGTTAGCTGCGTGTATATAAATAACAACAGTATATAAATAACAAGCAGGTAACAATACTTGTTTACGAAATTATTACATTATGCATAAATGATACTTTAGTCACAAGTTTTTGAAGAACATGTCGCATAGTATACAAAAAAACGAACAAATTATAAAAGAACGTTTATAAACTCTGCCTAAACAAACTAGTGACTGAAGCTTAGTTTATAAAAGTTGTAGCATTATATACTATTTTGATTCAAAGTTTAATCGGCACTTTCACTTGTTTTAAATATTCACGGAAAACCTCGGCTCCCCCCAACACGTGACTAAACTACCAGAAATGCTCGAAATGACTCGCGATATTGCTTAATTAGGCATACCTGAAAAGTGCATAGTTGGGTATTTTGAAGTAGAGAGAACAAAAAATTGCCATTTTATTTTGCAACAAAGAAGGCTTCTTGAGATAATTTGCATAAAATCGTATATCGTAAATTTAGGCACGAATGAGACTCGATACGAAAATTTCACGTGACAACCGTTCGAAAATAGAAACGTCAATTTCAATCAATTTGGTTGGTTAAATACCAATGGTCTGAAATTTTCACAATTATTTTCTGGATTTAAGTGACTAATAGTGAATACGTCTTAGCTCTTGCATGTTGCTGTGGATTTTTTCGATTTACATACAATCTTCAGATAATAGGGCTCAAGTGTTAACCTTGTTGGGATTAATTTTTGGAAATAGAAATCGCAAGCCTATATGGGTTCAAGTGACTAAAACAAAAGCCGTCGGAAGGTTTTTCGATTTAAATAAGTTCTTCAAATATCAGAGAAAACGGCTTAGGTTTTGCTTAGCTTGCCCGGATCTACTTTGCAAAGTACAAATTGTTAATGCTTTATTTTTAAAATTTATGTGACCAAAAAAAGAGTTCATGGGGCTTTCTTCGATTTAAAAAGTTCTTTCACCAACAGAAAATACAACTCAGATGTTAGTTTTGCTTGCCAGGACCGCGCTTTGAAAATTATGAAAAGTATTTTTTTTCATCTTAGTCACCAAAAAGGGAAAATGACTAAGATTTCTTTATTAAGATTTCTAATCTGTTTATTATATACAGTAGCATTTTATAAACACAATACTGCACTATTATTGACGCAAGATGACTTGAAAACTAGCATTTTTATTCCTATTCAAAAAAAGAGGAGAAGGTTTCGAACATTTAAACCCTTCTTCTAGACTCTCCGGCATTGCTTAGAGAAATCGGTTGTTTTCTTGTTTAATTAACTTGAATCATCAGGAAACAGTTAGTAATTGATTATGATAATTATTCAGCACGCATCACAGCATATTCTCCACTTCTACTGCTAAAAATTGGATATTCCTCTTAATAATACTGCTGCCAGAATAACCAAAACTACTTAACTATATTTCGAAACTTAAACGGCGCTGGTGCTAATTTTGTATTGGATAAAACTAATTACCATCGGAATTCAATTCTCGAAACTAATTTTGAAGACTGAAATTTTTAGGGCCGGACCCATTATTTCCCGTGTTACGTCTGAGTCCACAAAGAATTGTTTGTTTCCAGCTCGCCGCCAAACTATAATCGGCATCAAAGACCCTTTCCCTCTGCGACCCTATTTACGGGAAATTTAGGGTGCGTGGTTTTGGGATTTAGTTAAACCGAACGATTCTCTTTCCAGATAGATTCTTCCTTTCCTTCTCTCCTAATCCGTTATCTTAATGAACAATCTATTTGAACCCGAAGAGTTTTAACTCAAAATAATAGCTTTAATAATAGTAATCCAATTAAGGCAATTACCGACAAATGGGTGATTGCCAGTGGACATAAATTTGAGAAAAGATAATTTCCAGGGCTGAGCAAGTCAAAGTTATAATTTTTAATTTTATAACTTGTCCGTTATGGATGAACAGGAAATGTTAGACGTTATTTGGTACGATGGCTTATTGAAAGCATCTAGAGACCTGAGAGAGTTATTGTTATATTAAATCTTAGCTGCGGCTAGGTTGTAGGCTAGATTCTAAGACTATGTCCATCGTTGTAGTGTTACTAAATTTACTTTGAAATCATAACAACTTCGGAATTTGAAATTTGTTTGATGTGTAGTTAAATAACCGGTGGCATATAGTGCTGTTACATTTTTTCACCTAGTTATTTTGGCAGAATTAGTTTGTTCACAATTTTTACAGAACTACTGTTTGTAAAAAATATTTTTTTTCGCTGCCGTACTAGATTATTGATAATTGAAAATTGTTTTTATTACAAAAGACACCAAAACTTTCAGAAAAAAAAACAGGTTCTCCGTATTATTGAGATTTGAAACAACGTCATTAATCAAAATTAGAAATGGTAATGGTCCTAAATTAGAACCCTGTGGCACCCCTGATGTTGTGAAATATCTATTAGATGTATACCCATTGTAAGATATGTACTGTGTCCTGTCACTTAAGTAGTTTCTGAGAAACATCACCGCACCATCGGCAAATCCAAAAAGCTTAAGTTTCTGAAGCAATCCAGCATTACTGTCAAGCACCCTTGTTGCATACTCCGTAAACTGTACCAAATTAGTAACTGTAGAGCGGGAGTTATAAAATCCGTGCTGACTTGAAGAGATGCTTCTGTCAAAGTTAAAAATACGGTCATACAGAACGACCTCCAGTATTTTAGAAAAATTACATAAGATTGTAATAGGTCTATAGTTGGTTACGTGATTTCTTTCACCACTTTTAAAAATTGGACACACTCTGGATTCCTTCTAACATCGCGGATAAATTTTGGAGGAGAGAGCAAGGTTAAATATTTTTAGTAAAGGCTTGGAAAAGACACTAATACAATGTTTTACTAAAAAAGAAGATATACAAAGAGTGCGCTCAGGACCAGAAGGGAGAAATACACTCTCAAAAAAGGTAGCAAACGCTTCCGCAATAGAAAGCGGATCATCAAGGACATTGCCGTCGAAAACCATGTTACCGGGGATTCAAGTGGATATATGTTTTTGGTGTACATATGATCAAAATGTACGGGGATCATTAGAAACACTTTGTTGCACTGCGCCAAGGTAAACGCCATAAGCAGTCTTGATCTGAGATTTAAACGCGACTAAATGTTCCCTAACACCAGGTTTCTTGTATTTTTTGTGTGCTTTTGCTTTTTTGTTTTAAATCTTTTATTAACTGGGATGTGTACCAAGCAGGATATGTATGAGTGTAATTTTTAAACAGAGGTACATTTCGATCAAAAAAGCCATACAATTTTTCATTAAAGCTCTGCAATGCTTCTTTGACATCGTGAAAGTGATTTGAAAAGTCCCAATTTGTGTTTAGAAGGTGCAACATAATCAGCATTACTGAAATTATAATGTTTTGCATTGCCCCAGTTCCAAACGGTGGCTCCCTTATTGTCAGTTGATTAACACAAATAGTCATGCGGGATGGTCTTGACTTCCTTTAACAAGAGTTACAATATCGCGTGCTATACTACAGTAAATATTAGATACTAAATCAAGAAGTCTGTCTCTTTTATTAAATATACAATTGTATTGTTTCATATTTAAAAGTCTAGCATACAATTGATAGTAAATGTTTTACTGTCCTTTTTGATTTGGTGAACATAATCTGGACAGTTGAAATCGCCCAAAACTACTACATTCTGGTTGTGAAGAATTTCGAAGTGCTTCTAAAAATGTAACACAACCATCTACAGATCCGGAAGGTGGTATATACAAGAGCGATAAAATGATTGAATTATGTTGCAGAGTGCATTTACAAATTAATAGACCAATATTCTATCGAAGTACGCTGTTTCAAGAACTTCTGTTTTTATTTAGCCACGATCTTGATATAGCCACAATATGATATTCACACTGACCTACCGAACTAAAAAATTTATCCATTTTCGTATTAAGACCGCTCGTATTTTGATAATATATAGACAGTTCAGATTTCCTCGTAATTTTCGGATGTCCGTTGAAATATTTAATTCGATAGCTTTTCCCGCTATTGTCGGTCTGAAGTTGGATTAGCTCCTTCTTAAGTCTTTTATAATGTTCCATCTGGCGTTTAGTTCTATCAGAAGCCAGGACTACCCTCTGATCGATGTGGTTGTTTTTTAGATCACACTGTGTACAGACAGAGTTATTTTTATTTCTGGCGGCTTGTCTGACCCAGCACGTCCTAAACGTATGGGTCTGATCGATTCTGCTTGTTGAATTTCTGGATCAATAAAATCCAGAATAAACTTGACTATCTGTACATCGCTTCGCTCACGTGCATCTGTTGACCGCTGCTGATCTGCTTCCGGGACACCATAGAGAATAACGCTTCGCTTCCGTTTATGTCGACCATTGATTTCCGCGATAATATAATGGTACAGAGTTCCTTATTCAAGTAATTGAGACACTTCACTGAAAACTGGAAATACGTTATACAGACTATAATAACTCTAAATTGATATTGTTTCAACAAAGGCCTCCCGTTAGAAATTCTCTTTTGCACAATTGCGTGTAGAGAGCCCATTGACATTATTAAAAATACATTTCCAGTTTCTCGACAGTCTATAATCTTTCTGTAGGCAGTAAAGGTGTGGTGCAATCCTGCAATTGAACACTTTTATTTTATGTTCGATAAGCCTGATATTACCGCAATTTTTTGGATTTTGGATGGACTCTAAGTCGAGCCACGTGCTGTTCTCGTGTCTTCTTAATGTGGAACAATATTTTTGCATCTG